CCCCAAAACCCCAAAACCCCAAAACCCCTTACAATACAGCCCAGATTGAACTATTTTTTAAATGATCTGCTGGGATCCCATATTCTGCTCAAGCACTTGCTGGAGCTCCTGATCAATGACTTTAGGAATCTTCAAATTAATTGTCAAAACCAGTGGCAGGCTCTTTGTTCTTCTATCATTGCTGTTGAAATGGCCGAACTTCCTTGGTGAAGAGCGAAGTTGCTTTTTATACTCTGTTAAACTTCCTCTGAATAAATCCAAATTCCCAGTTGAGCTATAGAGGTCAATATCAGGCGAGATCGGCAGAAAAAATGAAAAATTATAGCTCATCTAGACAATAATCCTTACGAATTGCCTTTATCATGAGTTACCACAAAAGTTTCTCCATGATTTATACATCCAAAAGGAGCTCCAGCAGGGTCTTGAGATTTTAAGTTGAGCTCCGTTTCGCCGAAAAATGTGTTTATCTTCAAACTACCACCAAGCATTGCTGTCTTGAGGTCAAGATCAACTGTCTGCTTGACAAAGTCAGGAGGTTTGGACTTGCTAAAGCATAAGGCTTGGCTTACTTAAAGTCATTTTCCCAACCGTACTCATACACAGGATGAGGATCGACCATTATCTGTATAATAGCGTCTCCGACCGTATTATCTCTGCCAACATGCCCCTTCTTAGGAAGTTTCACAATATCACCGTTCTTAGTGAGAGGAGGAACGTAAAAGGACAGAATATCATTGATTCGAACTATGCCAAACCCTGATCAATTCGGGCAAGGACTTTTGAACCTTTTCTCTGAATATTATGCTCGCACACTTACTAAATCCATTGCATTGTGGTCATTGAGTGGTTTCTAGAACAAATTAATCAAATTTTGGGGGTTTATTGCTTGATAATTGGCATCAGAGGTCTTGACTTACTCAGTAATTCCTCCTCAAAATAGTCTAAATGAGGTTAGGCCAAACCATATTTGCATTAGCAAGGTGAATAGTAACAATCAGTACAAGGGATGTTTCCTAAAAAGAGCCCAGTGGTTTACACAGGAAATCTCATTAAAATCTCAGAATTTAAAAGGAATTTGGTTAACAATTAACAGAAAAATACAAAGAGATGAGCTTACATTCAAACTTTCCTGTGCCATGTCATTGTAATCATTCATCATACTCTGCTGTAACTTTAGTGTGCCCACTGCCTTTGCACTCTGTTCACCTTACAAGTCTAAAGGAAGGGTATAAAAGCCCATTAAAAGGCCTACCTCTCGGTTCCAGCTCTATGATATTCTCCATTGAGGGCAGTCTCGAATGGCACTTTAAACAAGCAAGTGAGGTTACTTCCAGTGGTGTCTTTCTCAATATCAAAGTCGTAACTGAAAATTAGCATCAAGCATACTCTCTTAGGTACTCAAGGTATCTCTTCATGTAGTTTCGCACTATACCGAATGAGTAATGAAAAGTTTAGGCTGAAAGCCAAGCTTGAAGGTCAGGTTTAGGCTTAAGTTTGACAAAAGTAGTTAAACAGAGCCAAGCTTTGAACTTCCTTGTTGTATTAAACAACCCTTAAAAATTTCCAATAAAAGCATCACTGGTCATTCATTGGTGTAAAGTGTCATTATGGTTACCTATTGGCCGAAAATAGAAAGGGGTTGGGACATAGTCAATGGCTTGTCTCTTTTCTATACCAAAATCATCAAAAGCATTACCTTTTTGGGCGCGCTCTTCTTCAGAAGGAGGTTCTCCTTGATAAAGTTAGTTGTTAAGCGAAATCCCCAATCCAAGTTAATGATGGGACTATACTTACTTGATCTCCGCACTATATATCAGCGAGTGAGGCTTAATAACTTACGTTGATCAACACGGCTTTTAAGATTCGATTGGACTATGTCAAAGTACCTCTTCCAGCTAGATTTATCAGAACTCTCAAGAACTCACCTTTTGTTATAAATCTCTTGTTGTTTGATCTTCTCAGAAAGTTCCTCATAAGCCTTGGTAATCTTCTGAAATTCATCATGAGCATTTGGTGAAGGATTCACATCAGGATGGTACTGCTTAGCTTTTCTACAGGTTAGGTAAAGCTTACTGTAAGAATTTTAGTTTCAAGTCTGAAGCTGAGATATCCTTTGAAACCCCTAATATCTCATATGGACTCCGTGTCTGCTTAGGTTTCTTCTTCGAATATCGCGTGCTATGTGTTACAAAAGACCTACGATCTGTAGCGCAGAGGAGTTGTTCAGAGCCTATGGAGTGTTAGACGTCAACAATAAGGCTGGGACATCTCCAGCAACATTTCAGTCAATTTCAAAATCCTAAATGCAAGGCAAATCTACAGAAGATCTGTAGTAATAATAACCTATTTTCCAGAGCTTTAGATGATTTTAATAGAAGTTATATGCTCTTTAATAGCCATACCTGAACTGGCGCAGCCTGTTTACTATCATAAATTTATAATATTTAATGAGCCACAATCCAATTTATTTAAAAAGATTCGGGGTTTTGGGGTTTTGGGGTTTTGGGGTTTTGGGG